GTACCAAAAATGAAAGTTCAAGGATAATTTTGGTACTTTTTAAAGCTGAGGGACAATTTTGGTACCAAAGTGATAAGTTGAGGGACCAAAATGGTACTTAAACCTTTACTAAACACCTATTCTTAACAATTTAGGTAAAAAACGCTAACTGTTACCCCCAAACCACTATACCAAACGTGTCATGCTTCAAAATCAGGAGTTCAAACATCGTACACTTGTGAGAAGATCTCACAAATGCACAAAGCTTAGAACCTGTTTAATTCATATTTGGCAATCTACTAAACTAAGATCAATATCTCAAAATAAAATCTAGCTTTAATAACCAAGATTATGACCAAGACAAGAGTGCACCAAAAATTTATACAACTCGATCCGTACAGTCATGACTATATCTAAGAGAATTTAGCCTACAAAAGAATTATCTATATCTCAAAAATCTATGTCCAACATGATTAGTATAACGGGTCTATCTCCAAAATGAACTAAGTCTAAAATATATGTGGCTAGCCTTTTAACTCGTTACTCCCCTTGGTTTCCCATGTCCCTAGTCTCGCTACTTAAAATGGTGGATGAGGAAAAACTATGTGAGATAATTTAGCAAGTAAGAGCATGGGTAACCTTTATTTCAAAGTTAAAGCATGCCAGATAAACAATTTAAAAACATAAATCACATGAAAAATCTCAGTTATAAACCATTAATGCAGAGTAAAATTCAATAGTGGTTTCCTCAATTAGTCACGGCCAGTGTTTAACAAACTTCCACTAGTAGGCATCAGGCATAACTAGTGAACTATTCCATTGGCAAGAATAACAAGAATAAACCAGTTTCCAAGAATACATGTCAACATGTGCTAGCTGTCATAACTCAAACTTTAATAGAATTTTATTTTTATTTTTTTAACTAATATATTTTGTCTTTGTTTTCCTTGTTACATTCATGAGCAAAATGGGGGATTTTTGCGAAGAAAATTGGAGAAGGGAGATGAAAGAAATTAAAACAAGGGACTCAATTGAAGAAATCAAAAGTTGGAGGGGTGAAGTTCATCAAGACAAATTTACAAGTCCAGCCCATACCCAATATTGAGCCTATTAAAACCAAACCCAATCCAACACCATCCCATTCCAATTTTAAGCCTCAAACCCAAAAACCCAAACCCACCAACTACCCAAAACTCATTTAACCCAAACAAACCCAAAACCCATTTAACCCAAAAAAAATAAAAAATAAAAAACGCTAACCCCAATTAAAAACCAAACAAAGAACAAAGAAGAAGAAAGTCTTACCTTGCTCTGCGCCCCTTTACCCACACACCCGAGCCTTGCTCCTGCACCAGCTCGGCACCTCTGCGCCCCTTGCTTATCGCGAACCAGCCCTGCTCCGCGCCCCCTTGTTCCCGCACCCGAGCCTTGCTCCTACACCTGCCCTGCACCTCTACACCCAGATCACATGCCTTCTGCGCCCAGATCTCGTGCACTCTGCGCTAGCCATCACCGGCAATCATACCCCTTTGCACGCCAGCCATCACCGGCAGTCATATCCCCCTCTGCACCGAGCTTGTGCCCCTCTCCTCTACGCCCCACTGCCGGCAATCATTCCCCCTGCACACCGTACCTTACCCCCCTGCACCGAACCTACGTCCCTGCTGCTGCACCGAGCCTGCACTCATGCACTCTGCGCCCCAATCCCTCGCCTCTGCACTCCTACTCGCTACAGCCATGCCCCTGCCTCACTTAGAAAAAAACAGCACATATCAGACAAAATCGGCATCATTAGTGTTTGACGGAGCAAGTTTTTCGTTTTTATTTATTTCATTTTATTGTTTGGGTATATATATAGAA